TGGTTTTGCTGGTGGTTTTGGTGGTGGTTTTGCTGCTGGTTTTGCTGGTGGTTTTGCTGGTGGTTTTGCTGGTGGTTTTGCTGGTGGTTTTGCTGGTGGTTTTGGTGATGGTTTTGGTGGTGGTTTTGCTGGTGGTTTTGCTGGTGGTTTTGCTGGTGGTTTTGCTGGTGGTTTTGCTGGTGGTTTTGGTGATGGTTTTGCTGGTGGTTTTGGTGGTGGTTTTGCTGGTGGTTTTGGTGGTGGTTTTGGTGGAGGTTTTGGTGGCAGTGGCGGTCTAGCCTTCGAAATACCTCTCTAACCCACGGGGCCTCGTTGGGGCCGCAAAGAATGCCTCTCCCCTCCATCCCCAGCCCGCTGCCGCTCTCGCCTTTCGCACACCTCTCCAACCCTCGAAATACCTCTCCAACCCCCTCCATCCCCCCCAGCTAGGAAGGTGACGGTGGGGCAAATGGAATAGGGAGGGAGCTAAGTCCTGATGGTGGTGGCAGGAGCGGTTGCACATGGACAAATTGTGCAACCTGACGATGCTCCTTTTGTTGGGGTTGTCTGACTTGGTGCAGGTCAGCAAGCAAGTTTTGATGCAACGCGCCCAAAAAACGTGTGCAGAAAAAGCCAACGAGGCTGAAGTGAGAAGAAAGCTCTTTGGATGATCGTTAGGCGCTCTTCCGCATCTGTGGTCAAGCTGCCTTGGATAAGCCATCTGACCCGAAGATCTCCAGAGTCGACGAACTTTGCCTTTCTGCCAAGTGCTATCCAGAGTGGAAGGTCCTAAGCCCTTGACAATCCCACTCTAAGTATGCATGAGACTCGCAGCTCAAAACCCTGAACCCTATTAAGTGCTTTTCTATCCCTCTGTATCCCTTTATTGCAGCTATATCCCGATTATGTCCTTATTGTAGCCCTAGTATGTTTCCTGTTTGCCTCTATATGGTATATCCCACTATATCCCTGTATATTAATTATCTATCATACCCCTTAACCCTAAACCCTAAGACGCTGTATAGAGGCATCCTGCCACAGAGCCATAACCTGACTCGGCTTTCGTGAGTCAGGTCGCTATTGTTATCAAAAAAGGATTGGGCTATGCCATTGTTGAAGGCATACTGGGCGAACCTACGGCTTCGAAAATTACCATATGAAACTGCTGTAATCCGCTTCAGTAGAGTATCCACGCGTTTGCTTCCACGATTCCCTGACAGCACCAGAAAATAATCTTACGTATGGCAGATGGAAGGTGTACAGTACCAGCTGAGCAGCCAAACTCTAAACCCTAAACCCTAAACCGACCTCCGAAACTGCATGTGCTTTGCGAGACGGATGATTATCGTGTACTCAAGAACAGCGGCCCGGATGGCTTCAGAATGTAATGTCCGATTTAGGATTTGGGATCTAGGGTTCAGGGCTTAGAGTGCTACGTGTTTTTGATGATGTTTATTGAGATACGGTGTCCTTGACGAAGCAAGCTTTGATATTAAGAGATGCTTATTCGGCATTAAGCCCGCACCAATCAGGCTTTGAGTTTTTGCCCTCGGGGTTTGGGGCTGCTGTTCGAAAGCTCTTGGGACTTAGGTAGTGATGGCGCACATCAGGTTCCATCCATGGGGCCCCCAAGAAGATAGGCCCTTTAAGAACCTTTGATTTTCGTTATAATGCTCTTTGAAGGCGTCCCTCTTAGAGGGTCTGTCCTGAAAGGGGGATCCAGAATGCCTTTAAGTTTTGTTTGGCTCCATTCTGCGGCACGTTCTGGGTGCATTCTTCTGTAGCCCATTTCGCCGGAGTCTTTTCTTGCCGGAGATGCTTCATCAAGTTATTGATTCTTAGGGTTAAGGGATTAAGTGAAACTAATATAATGTTTCCCCTTGTTCCCTGTTAAGTGCCAGTAAGTCAAGTTTGGGCGAGCAAGCAGCCGAAGCACTAAATCCTGCATTGTCTCTATAAGCCCCAATTGGCATGTCATTTTCCATTTATTTCTCCATTGTCCAGGGTCCAAAGTATGGGCCGCCTTGCCGTCTGTGGCTTTATCCAGAAAATAAAGGTTGCTCAGCCGAGACAAGTCCGCAGCCCCAGGCCCTAAGCCCTGAACCCCCGAAACCACCAAATCCGAAACCCTTGAAATCCCAGGCCCTTAACCGCAAGCCCCAAACTCTAAACCCATAGCCCTAAACCCTAAAACCCTTACACCCCTAAAACCTGTACTTTAAACCTCGAGGGGGGGGCGGGGGCAGGCAGAGAAAAAAAAATTACAAGGGGGACAGCCTCGGCGAATTCGTGCGACCCATAGAGTAATCCTAGTTAGCCCCGTTCCTACCCTGCTTACTCAGCTCTCCTGACCCGTCAAGTAGACATTTGGGCTATTTCTCGAAGTGCGGGGGCCGCTTCATGTCGATCACACTCTATGTGAGCCTGCTGAGCGGAAGGACAGTCCAGATTGAGACCGAACTGGATGTTGCTGTTGGGGTATTCAAGCGACGTGCACAAAGGGCCCTGTCAGTTGGCAAAGGCAGACTTGTCCACCCCAGCGGATCACTGTTGAATGAAGCAATTACAATCAGAGATAGTGACTTATGCAGTGGCGATATCTTACACCTGCAAGTGCAGCCCATCAGGATACGGGCTACTAGAGCATATGGTGCCGGGGCATTTGCAGCCATCCTTGCAGATGGATCCGTGGTCACCTGGGGTAATGCTCACGTTGGAGGTGACAGCAGTGCGTTGCAAGATCAACTGAAGAATGTGCAGCAAATTCAAGCTAGTCTCCACGATTTTGCGGCCATGCTTGCGGACGGATCCGTGGTGACCTGGGGTGCTAGCTTGGGAGGCGACAGCAGTGCGGCGCAAGATCGACTAAAGAATGTGCAGCAGCTTCAAAGTAATGATGGCGCTTTCTCAGCCATCCTTGCAGATGGATCCGTGGTGACTTGGGGTGATGCTGACGACGGTGGCGACAGCAGTGCTGTGCAAGATAAATTGAAGAATGTGCAGCAGATCCAAGCCAGTCTGGGGGCTTTTGCAGCCATCCTTGCGGATGGATCCGTGGTGACCTGGGGCGATCCTGGTTACGGCGCCGACAGCCGTGCGGTGCAAGATCAACTGAAGAATGTGCAACAGATTCAAGCCAGTGAGCGCGATTTCGCAGCCATCCTTGCAGATGGATGCGTGGTGACCTGGGGTGATCCTGCCTACGGAGGCGACAGCAGTACTGTGCAAGATCAATTGAAGAATGTGCAGCAGATTCAAGCTAGTCGGAGGGCTTTTGCAGCCATCCTTGCAGATGGATCCGTGGTGACCTGGGGCAGCGCTGCCCACGGTGGCGGCAGCAGTGCTGTGCAAGATCAACTGAAAAATGTGCAGCAGATTCAAGCCAGTCGGGGGGCTTTTGCAGCCATCCTTGCGGACGGATCCCTGGTGGCCTGGGGTGATGCTCGCTTTGGAGGCGACAGCAGTGCGTTGTGAGATCTGTTGCCTGCGGAGCAAAGCATTGTTTTGGCGGATGTCTTGCGGGTAGAGCATTCAGCCTGCCGTAAATGGTGTAGGACCTGCTGATTTACCACCCCACAATGTGCTCGATATGTGTTATTCTTGGCCGGAAATTCCGTCCGCATTGCCAGAAAAAGGCCGCTTACAGCTTATGAGAGGGCCCTGATGTTTCTTTTTGACTTGGAGCCGAAGAGGGGATGCCATCATACTTGGGCTGTCAGCGTGTTACAGTTGCCCTGAACCCCAGACCCGAAAACCTAAGCCATAGCGTATTACAGTTAACCAAGGAGCAGAGTAGACTCCGGAGCCTTAGCTTGGTTCCTCGACCTGTGGATAATGTATATGGGGGTTTCCCAAAATTGAGGGTACCATTCTGGGGTTCCAGTAATAAGGATTATAGTATTTGGGGGTCTATATTGGGGTTAATGCATATTATTTTTACTGTTCTTATTACGTCCCTGGAAATCTACATGAAGTTCCGAACCCCAGCTGGCTTCGAGAGGCTGAGAAGACATGAACATCAAACTCTCAGTGTCGGTACTTGTGACAGCCAACATGATGTAGCGATGTTGTAGCCATGTCCTTCTGGCGCCCCCCCGGCACCTTACACCCTTTGATGAAGGAGCCTATGCTAGACAGGTCTTACTGATGTGGACCCCACCCCCCAGTAATAGTGACTATAAGGGATAATAGGGATTATTTTACAAGGTCCTCTCATATTCTTATTATACTATTATACCACTATTACAGGGTGGGGGGTCCTCCTAAGCTCTTACCATCGTATATTTCAAGGTGATTGGTTGGGTTGGGCCCCCACCCACTAATAGTGACCACAAGAGATAATGGCAATTATATTAGGGTCCTTATATATTCCTAATACACCACTACTAGAGGGTGGGGCTTAGCGCAGGTGTTTGTGAATGACTGCTTTTGTTTTGCCAGCTTCTTCGGACAGATCTGCGACATGAGCAGTATTTTATTTGGGGATATTATGGTACCCAATATAGAGTAAGATTATATCCTCCTTTTGGGGTACAGTATTTTATATAAGGGTGAATTTCTGAGGGTGCGGGGTTTGGGGCAGACTTTCTGTTATGATTGGTTGGAACTCCTTCTATCTTCCACCATGGACCGATACCCTTTTTACTGTCGACCAGAGGTCACGGTTGTGCTCTCCAAATTCGCCAGTTTCGGGGTGCCTGAAGTGCAGCCCCAAAACCCTAAACTCCTAAACCCTAAACCCACCCTAAACCCTAAACCCACCCTAAACCCTAAACCCTAAACCCACCCTAAACCCTAAACCCTAAACCCACCCTAAACCCTAAACCCTAAACCACCCTAGAGCCCTAAACCAAAAAACCTTGGCATCCCCGAAGTCCTAAACCCTAAGCCCCGCAGA